AATAAATATTTTATGATAATTAAATTTATTAACCATAATAAACAATTAAATTTTTTTAGATTTAAAAAGGGTGAAATATTGTTAATAGTAAAGTATCATATAATATAATATATACATTTAAAATTATTTATATACATGTGATAATTATAGTTTTAACAATTTTATAGTTGTAGGGGGAGGTGCTATGATTAGAGAATCTAAAGGAACTTATGTCAAACATCACATGGCTGCTGTACGGTAGGATATAATCATAGGCTCATAAATAATTTTATGTGCATCGCTGTAATATATTTCATGTCTGGAGAAGAATATTTCTTATTTATTTATTTTTTGAAAATATTTACATCTACCCAATTGGATACAAGTCGTTAATACATATAATTTCTTTTAATATATTTTTATTATTACATTAATTTTATCATAATATATTTAAAAATTATAAAATAAAATATTTTTTTTTTTAAAAAAAAAAAGAATTGACACGTATCTATTTCTAATGCTACTTACATATATATACATGTATAGATTTTTAGAATAAATGAATCTGTAAAATAAATTATTATTTTATTATAAATTTCAATTCTTATAAATATTTGTAATTAATTTCAACGCCTCAAGTCGTGAATTATTTACTAGTTTTGAGGCCCAATAGTACAGTGACAAGTGGCCCATTGGGTCTTTGTATAAATAGCGTACTGATAATTGGGCTTCATGTTGAGCAATACAGAAGCCCACCTACGTTTTACTTTTCTTAAACTATATACATATATATATACATTTAATTTTTAATTATTTATTTATAAATTCCAATATAATCAGAGCAACGTACTTAAAGTTTTTTTTTAGGGTAAATATTAATCTTGCTTTCTCTATAATAAAAAAAAATCAAAATTTAAGTTTCTATGTAGATAAAAATAAAAATACATTTTAGTTTACATTCTTAAGCTGGTATTTTATTTAAATACTCAAAAAAATATTTAAATTATTATTGGATTACAAATTTTAAATAAAGTTTAGGACATAAAATTCACAAATTATTATTAAATTTTACAATTGAAGTTATTTTATTAATTTTTATATAACATTAATTATGTCTTTAAAAAAAAAGATAATTAAAAATATTAAATAAAAGGTAATGCTGTTGTTCTAATCCTAGAAAAGTTTCGGTTTGCTTTTTCTTTAATTAATTAAACTAAGTACAGTTTATAAATTAATTTCATAATTTTTTAAACTCAGTATTTATGAAAATCATTTAAAAAAAATTAAAATCTTTAAATAATTTAGAAGCTCATAGTTTATGAATCTATTCAAACATCCAGATGATCAACGATAAAATTATCATTTAAGTATATCTCAAAGGTCACTATGCATTCATCTTCATATACATATAACAGATAGGTTTCTCTGAACCTTATTTGCTTCGTAAAACCATGTATTACATAGATCATATATATATATATATGTATATGTATAGGCTTGAAAAAGAAAGAAAGGAAAAAAACTCAGATTGACATACAAAACTCAGATCAAAGCCGAAGATTCAAGTCAGTGGTTCTATCATCTGACGGTGATGACAAATTAGGCAAATCTTGAAACCGAAAGCTACCTGGCCAAATCAAATCCATTCCATCCTCAGGCGTCCATGGAATCATCCCAAACCCTGGATTCACATCACCAAACCGTGCCACCATTGACGATCCTCCTCCGCCACCTGCTCCTCCTCGGCGGGGCTTGCGCACCAGCGAGTGAGGCTGGACGCCGAGTGATCGAACTGGGAGAGAAAAAGGAAACGCAGTTGCCGTAGTCGTTGCCGCCATCATCATCATCATTGTCCTCTGAGAATTGAATCTCCTGGCCGCTCCTCTCTCTCGCTTGTGAGCGTTCTGATGACCGCCCAGAGCTTGCGAGCTGTAAAATTTTCTCATGCAGAAGTTGCAAGAGAAAACTTTGTTGTAATTATTATTATTATTATTATTATTACCTGCAGGTTTTGCTTGGAGATGATCCAAGTGGTAATCAAGAGGGTGATGATGATGATCATGATCTTCATCACCGCAATAATTGTTGAGGCCTAAACTCAATAATTCACCTAGGTTGTGATCATGACCATCTTCATGTTGACTTTTTGCCTCTGGTTCAGCTTCTTGATCATTAATGGCCTGCATCTGGGTTGTAGCCTCTTCTTCATCTTCATATTCTCTTTGGAAATTAGTCATAGCAGTTTATACCACACTGCTCAGAGCAGATGGGTATTCGGGAAGTTTATGAATTATGATATGTGTGTGTGTGTGTATATAATATATATACATATATAAGAATACAGGCAGGAGATTAGAGGGGCAGTGCTTATGTCAGTTAAATAAAAAATAGTAATATCCATGTCAAGCTTAGGATTCTTTGTTAATATCTTTCACCTTTTCTTAACACCTCCAAGATATATGTATATAAACATGAAGCTATATTATTCTGTGTGTTGGACGGATTAGTAACAGAAGCTTTAACTGACAACAATGGCCATTACCAGTAAGTCTCAAACGTGTCGTCTATGTGTTGTTTGAAAACATTTGCATATATTTATGTAGTGTAATAGTAGTGTAACATGACAATAATATTCCCACTTTTCAATTACCCCCCATTATTTGTGTAGATAAAGATGAAAACAGGCATAGAATTGTTTCAAATTTTTCACAAAATACAAAACAAAATTTTATGATCCTTATCTAGACGAAAGTTTTGAAAAAGTGGGTTTATATTATAAGATTAAAGATCATTATTTTTTAATCTAAATAAAGAGATAATTACCATAAAAGGGTGAAAAAAATAAAATAAAGAATGGTAATTGAAATGTGAGAGTGAATCAAAGTGGACCAAGGTTGGCAGGGCAAGATGTGAGCATCAGATTCATTATTGACTCACACCACTACCAGAACTATCATCTTCAATCTCCTCCACTTTTGGCTTCCAAGAGGTTTCAAGTACAAATGGACTTTACAGGGAACGACTAACATCAATAATCTTCTTCCCATCACAACAATGGAGTAAGTACAGTCTACAGATGCTACTATAAGCCTATACTTAAAAAGAGTTAAAATTACTATTTTATCCTCATAATTTATTTTTATTGCAATATAATTATTTTTTTAACTATATGGTTAGTATTTCACTCATTTTATATAAAAATTATAGTTCAAATTAGAATGTGTATTTAGTATATCCGAACTTATCTTTTAATTGATATTAATATATGACGTTAATAATGACCATCAAGTTATCTTTAAATAAATTATAAAAATTTAAATCACGACGAGATAGAATTGGATAAAATAAAACTGTACCTTTTTCTTAGTTTATAATATCTATTGGCAAAATCTTAATCACTAACAAATTTATGACACGAATTGGATCCAATTATTTAATGGGTTTTCTATGTGGAGACAGATTATTCCAATAATGATAATATAAAAAAGAGTTTTTAAAAAAAAAGTGGGGAAGAGAGGTGGATTGTCTGTTTTTGAATTGGGTTTTTCTCAATACAATAAAGAGGGATGTATGTAATATGGGTTGTCTTCAGGAAGTGGGAGATAATGTAATGTACAATAGGAGAAGAGCATTGAAGACCCACTTGTTCTTGTTCTTAGAATCTTTTCTGTTCTATATAGCAACACTTTGTAAATTACAAAAGCTCAAGGTTTCCCCACATTGGAGGTGTGTGTGATGTTGAAGCTTCTGCTTGATTTAATAATTTCAAGTGCTGGAATGCTGAGTCATTTACAGCAATGGGTTTGTCCTATCAACTAGTAGTTTTCATATACCAGCCGACTTAGTAATTAAAAATACCAAAAGAATATAATTAGTGACGAAGATTTAGACTTTACTGTACTTAGATATATTAAATAATGTCAGTTTACTCTTTGCCAATTTTAGTTTAAACCTTGAAAAAGATAAAAACCCAAGAAGTTCACTACAAGAATCCCCTGTTTTTAAAGGCAATTAGTTCCAAAAGAACAGTGCTTGAAAAAACTTGGGAATAAAACCCTAGTAGTTTTTGAGTTTCCATCTCAACAAACTGAATTTTATTATAAAACAAACTATAAGTTTACTGAATTTATTGACTCTGTGTTGTCTTTCTAAAAAAGTGATAATAAATTGTGGTAGTCAATGGCAATATCATTACTTGTCTTGTCAATCAAAGATTGATGTGATTAACTTGTAATATGAAGCTACCATTGGCTAAGTAGACCTCTATTCATACCCCCATTTTATTAGCATATCAAGCCAAACTACTTGGTTTCATAAAGAACCCAAGTGATCAAACAACAATAGACATCATGAAACTGCAGATTCGAGAGTAACATCAACAATTACACGTATGTACCTAGATACATATATATTATACATACATAAGGAGAGAGAAAGAGAGAAGGGAAGGGGGTGGAAATAGTGACTGACAACTTGTTAGATAATACAATACAATCAGGTTGTGGAAGACTCCATCAAGTATCAAGCAAATGTACTAACTTTTAAAAAGCTTACAACTTGTTATATGATACAATATAATCTGGCTATCAAGTATCAACCAAATTTAGTAGCTTTTAGAAAGCTTGATTTAATTGGGTAGTTCTGTGGTTTCTATGGAACTCATAAATGGACCAAAGAATATTAGTGGTAATAGGCATATTCTGTAATATTCTTCAGGTTATTTGTTAGGTATATGAATTCTGTCTACTCCATGAGGCTTGAGCTTGAACCAAAAAGCCAGAAGGTAACCAGCTGAAATCATGTTTAGTATGGTAAGATAACTCGCAAAATTTATGTTTGGCAAGGTAAGATAAGATATCGGGTGAATAATGGACCTTGCTCTATTCTATCTAATGTTTTAAAAAAACTTTTCTTCGATAAAATAGTTCATTACCCCTTTTGTTTTTAAGTAGAGTAGTTTCTTTCTGGAGTTAGTTTAATAATCTTATTCACTCTATTAAAAATTAAATAGAGAATATTTCTGATGTTATTTTTACTACCTTTATAACTTGATGGAAGTATCACTGCTGCTGCTGCTGCCGCCGCCACCATTCCCACCATCATTGCTAACATTGTCAGCAAAACCCTTTTTGCTGCTGCCAACGCTACCGCCATTATTAATGTAAAGTAAGGGGAAAACAATACATTCTTATATGTTATTCAACTTATTTCTCTATTCAAGAACTTAAAATATATAATAGAGTAAGAATTTTGCACTGAGTAGATTACTACCACATTCAAATACCCCAATCTACTACACCAAAGTGCCAAACAGAGCCTAAGGTAGGTGTCATCTGATTTGAGTAACTCTTGGCAGTGGACTACTATTTTCATACTTGTCAAGTGGATCTTTACTTCCCATTTCAGTAACATCACCAACTCTCATATACTACGGCTTTGTGAGGAATTTACCTGTATTCTCAACTAGATAAAATTAGTAGTTCAGTCATGGATACCTATTGAGATATATATATATATATATACATGTTGAAAATCTAAATATAATGTAACACTTGTTGACCCTATAAAAGCAGCATAGTTCATTGCTTTCTGTTAAAGCAATTACTTTGTTCGATAAAAATCAATCCACTGAAAAAGATTCAGTTGTTTTGCCTGTTAGGAGTTAAACATGGATAAGCCAGGGAAAGGGGGAGTTGGGGATAAAAAGGAGCTTCACCTAGTTGTCACTTTAAGAATAAATACTAGCCAGATGTAACAAATGCAAATAATGCAAAACCCTCTAATCCATAGATGATTCTGTTAAACTTGGTTACTCTTTTCAATGACATTACCTGGACAAGAAGAATTTCGTTCAGTCATCCACAGAAGGAAAAAACCCTTGGCACAAGGGATAGTAAAGCATTTCGAGAATTTCAACTGTGTCAATTTTCTAAAAAATTCTAGATTTGAGGTTTTAACTTGATAAAATCATCATTCCATTCGCTGCTTACAGATCAAACTTCGAACTTGTCAAATTAATTCTGTACTGATCAAGATATCTATGGATAATACATAAACCCTATGAGTTCAATGTGGAAAAGAAATAGATGCCCATTCTAGCCCTATCCTATTTGATTAAACATTAAAAATTCTACTCCATAAATTTTCTGAAATTACTTCTTGTGACCCCTCACCAAGATGAGATGTATCAAACAGTTGCCCCAGTAATAAAGAGCGTACTGGCTTCTTATTTCGCACTGGACTTACAACTTAACACGTGCAAGTCCTGATCTCTAAACTTGAGGCACCTTCATCAGAAAATTAAGTTGGGTATGTCTTTCTCATATCATTCTCAAGCTCCAAATGGCATCTCTTTCAGCATGGTAGCTCCAGAGTACATCTAAATGGGGTATGGTTTGTTACCTCAGGACTTGATCTGTTATTGTCCATGATGCCAATACTTTGTTCTTTGTATGACAAATCCTGCCGTAGTTGCAATTGTTCTAGCTCAACTATCTGATCCAGGTAGGTGAGACATTTTCTTAATATGGATACATGAAGTACATTTGTGAACTCCTGCTAAGGCAAGCTGTGAGGTAATTTTATAGGTAGCTTCTCTTATCCTGTCAAAAACTTCAAATAAATCGCATCCTCAGATCCCGAACCTCCTGACACCTCTGTTAAGAGAAACTTCCAAGAAAACATAATCTCCTACTTGGAAATCAAGTGCTCGCCTCCTATAGTTTGCATAAATCTTTTGTTTGTTTTGTGCAATTCGAAGTTGCTCTTTGTTCAATTGTACGTTTTCGACCATTTGTTCACTAGTTCAGGACCAAATATCTTTCTTTCCCCCACATCATTCTAACAAATGGGTGAAACGCTTCCTACCGTACAAAGCTTCATATATAGGCATTTGAATAATTGTCTGATAACTATTATTACATGCAAAAAGAATTATATATGTAATGTATGAAACGCTTCCTACCATACAAAGCTTCATATGAAGGCATTTGAATAATTGCTTGATAACTATTATTATATGCAAAAAGAATTATATATGTAATGTATATATGGAGAGAGAGAGAGAGAGAGAGAGACAGAAAGGCACTAGCGATCATGAGGAGAGCGACAAAAAAAGGGAAGTGCAGCTCAATGCCCCCGTTGCAGTATTCGATCGAGATCAAAATTCAAATTAGCAAAGAACACGCACATACAATTTATATATACAACCGAAAAGAGAGAAGATGTATAATTGTGTATATGTCTCAGTGTGCTGTATATCTCTGTGTCGGTGTATCTATGTGTGCCTGTGAGAGAGAGAGTGTGTATATGTCAAGTGTACGTCTGTAACAGGAGAAGAGTAAGATGGAATTCCGAAACCGAAGGCTATGGGAGTGAAGAGAGAGTAGTAGGGTGGATAAGAGAGAAAGATGACCTGATCGATGAGGCTCTGGCCTCGGAAAGCACTGACCTCGATAGAGATCTGTAGCGCCCCGCCATTCGCATCTGCTATGTGCTTGTTTACTCGTTGGGATGAGACACAGAAGAGAGGTTTTTACCGACGGGAATAGACCCTGATGAGAAGGAACGACACCGTTTGGCTTTCTCGTTCGAATTGCGAGAATGGATCGGGTTGAAGTTCCATAATTTCGGCCCATGTTCAAGAATCAAAGCTTTCTTACCCGGCATTGGAGACAAAAGAGAACGGCGTAAACAACCCCTTCACAATTTAGTCGAATTTCATTAGTAATTATTGGACTATATTAGATTTCTATTCGTGTTACATTTAAGTTTAAAATTAATTTTACATAGTTAATTACAAATTAGATTCTTTTTTATATTTAAAAAAATTAAATAAATAATAATTATATATATTATCATATTTATTTTTATATTTAAAAATTATAGAGTATATTATTTGTAAATTAATTAAAATTAAGTTATATTTTTATATTTTAAATTATAAATGAATTATATTTAAAATTTTATCTTTTATCTTTCTAAAATATATCTTTATAATTAATATTAGTCTATTAATTTTATTCTTTATTTCAGAAATTTTTTTAAAAAAAAATGTGTCGTTTTTTTTATATTACCTTTTGTATTGTAGATTATTGGTTGTCTTGCAACCCACATTTATTTAATGCATTATTTTTAATGAGTTTTCTATCATAAATATAAAAAAAATATTACTTGAAAATAATTGGATTGTGGGTCGTCTTGTAATTCCGTTTAAAATCTTTGTTGGGTTATAATTTAGTCATTAACCCACAAAATTATTTTAATACACTTTTTTAATGAGTTTGCGATTGTAAATAAAAAATAATTAAAGAAAAATTCAACAAATTGTGATTACAAGACTTTACTATTATTTTTTTCTTACTGTGATTTGGGGGACAGATGAAATAAAACAATCATTTTAATTAATCTTAAGGTAACTTTTAGTTGTTATAACTTTTAAACTCTTCAAAAACATATTTTGTAAAAACATAAAAATATCACGTCATTTTTTAATAAATTTTTTTTATTGTTTTATAAAAGTTTATAAATTAAAATAATTTTATAAATTTAGGAATCAAATTGTATTATAAAATATTTAATCTAATTATAACATGGTAAATGATTCATACATAAAAATAATAATTAGTGCAAAGATATTTGTTATAAGGCAAATTATTAAGAGGATCGATGAGCTCTACGTTATATTGCAATTATTTTAATACGTCATATTTCTAATGAATTTATTTCCAGAAAAATAACAACATTTTGAAAAAGAACACTTCACCACGCCATCATGTCCGTGTCTTCAACTCCCCTCTTTAGCACGCCATCATCACCACCGCCATGTCTATTTACTCCCATGGTCCGTTCGTCGTCTCCGTCGGTGACGACGATCACCAGCTACCACTTGCCACCGCCGGATAAGCTCGCTTTCCTCATCGACCGATCGAAATCCATCCACCAGATCCTCCAAATCCACGCGGCCCTCCTCCGCCACAACCTCCTTCCCCACCACTACCCAGTCCTCAACTTCAAGCTCCAGCGCTCTTATACCTCACTCGGTCGCCTTCGCTACTCTGTCGACCTTTTTAACCAAACCCCCGACCCGAACATCTTCCTCTTTACTGCCATTATCAACGCCCACGCTCTTCACGGTCTCCATGATCAAGCTTTTTTCTTTTACGTGCGAATGCTGGTTCAGGGGGTGCACCCGAATGAGTTCACCTTCTCGTCCATTTTGAAATCTTGCTCGCTTGATAGCGGAAAAGTAATTCACTCCCATGTGGTTAAGTTGGGATTCGGGTCGGATGTGTACGTGACAACGGGTCTCGTCGATGTGTACGCGAGAGGGGGTGATATTCGGTCTGCAAGAAAGGTGTTTGATAATATGCCTGAGAAGAGTTTAGTTTCTTTGACGGCGATGATCACCTGCTATGCGAAGCACGGCGAGCTTCAACTGGCAAGAGCTTTGTTTGATGGTATGGAGGAGAGGGATGCGATCTGCTGGAACGTCATGATAGATGGATACGCACAGCATGGGATGCCTACTGAGGCCTTGGTGCTTTTTCAAAAAATGTTGACAGCGAAGGTGAGGCCTAATGAAGCGACATTCTTGGCTGCGCTATCAGCTTGTGGACAGATTGGAGCACTGGAATCAGGTAGGTGGCTCCATGCGCATATTGAGAATCAAGGTATTCAAGTGAATGCCCGTCTGGGTACTGCTTTGATTGATATGTACAGTAAATGTGGGAGTTTAGAAGATGCAAAACTAGTGTTTGATAGAATCACTGATAGAGATGTTGTTGCCTGGAATTCGATGATTGTTGGTTACGCAATGCATGGATTTGTCAATTATGCAATGAACTTGTTTGATGAGATGCAGAGAATGGGATTACAGCCTACTGACATTACCTTCATTGGGGTGCTCAGTGCTTGTGCTCATTCTGGTTTGGTGAATGAGGGAAGACGATTATTCAACGCAATGAAAGATGTATATGGTATTGAACCAAAAATCGAGCATTATGGGTGCATGGTAAACCTC